TGCGCGTTACTTCCGACCTACAAGACGCGAGGAGCAATCTATTTCTCCGCATTCCGCGCGCGCATTTGATCGTCTGTCTTGGCTTTTGGACACGTCTTTGGACAATCTCACTTTGGCCGTTTCTTGTTTCTGAGGGTAGTGAACTTGTGCAGTTGGGTTCGTTTTCCATTGCGCCGTGCTGTTCTTGAGCTGCAGGCCGGTTGTGAATGGGTATACATACAGTCCTTCTCTGTGTTCTGCCTTTCTTTGGTTACTGATCTCAAGACACTATAGAAACTACCGGTAAACTTCAGATTGTGTAGTTGGCACCATCGCACCTCTCCTATTCGACTCCGCGTTGCGCGACCGCACTCTCGCGACTCCTACATTACCACCAATACTACCGACACAATGTCATCATCGGCACGATACCGTCGTCCTGCAAAGGACAATGCGCCCACAGATGCAACGAACTCAGCTGGAGCCCCTGATCTTGCGGCTGCAAAGGAAAAGGCTGAGCTCAAGCAGGCGATCAAAGAGCAAGCCGAGGAAACGTCAAATGGCCTGTCAGTACTAGACGTATTGCGTATACTGGGCGGACTGGTACTGCTAAGCTGTGGACTGAGCTATCTGAGTACCAGCGGAGAAAGCATGACATGGGGCTACAACCCATGGTGGACACGAGCGCGGGAATGGAAGAGTCTGATTGTAGGTCATCGTATTTCCACATCTAGGAAGCACATGTGTAGAAAGTTCATACTGACCACCTATCACAGCAAGGCGAAGTCGTCCTCACTGACAGCGAACTCGCACTATACGATGGCTCCGATCCTAAGAAACCCATCTACCTCGCCATCAACGGTACAATCTACGACGTCTCTATCTCGCCCACCACCTACGGCCCCGGCGGCTCCTACCACTTTTTCGCCGGCAAAGATGCCGCCCGCGCTTTTCTCACCGGCTGCTTCGCTGAAGACTCGGTCCCGGATCTACGCGGCGTAGAGCAAATGTACATGCCCGTTGATCCGGAAGAAAAAGCCTCTCTCACTCCCGAGGAACGCGCCGCTGCAATGGAGAAAGCGCGCAACAGGAAGAAGCTCAGCAGTGGCGAGCTGAAGAACCGACACGCGCGAGAACTCAAGAGTGCGAAGAAACAGGTAGTCGATGGCTTGGAGAGCTGGCATAAGCTGTTTAGGGGGGATAAGGGGAAGCCGTATCGTCGTGTGGGCTATGTGAAGAGGGAGAGTGATTGGCTGGAGAAGACGCCGAAGAGGGGGTTGTGTGAACAGGCTGAGAAGGGGAGGCCGGTGAGGAAGTATGATTAGGGTGTGGTAGGTGGAGAGAAAGGGGGTTATGAAGGGGAGAGTTAAGAACAGGGAATCGAATCGTTGTAGTGTACTGCAAAGTATATGTTTAGTTTCTGCCGAAATATCAATGTTGTGCTGATATAGGCTGAAAGTCTTGTTTTTTTTTTCAAAGTATTGTTAATGCGTGACGTGACTGTTGTGCGAATATCACAAACTCCTTTTCAAGAAAGTGATAGAACTTGTAACACCTAACTTTTGAGATGAATTAGTGTAGATTAGAACACTCTAGGAAAATTCACGTAGCAAGGGCAACTAACGAATGTATACATCTCGATCGGTCTATCCCTTTTCTCTAGCACATGTCTCTTCTATACCTCTATACAAATTTGTTTTGCTCAAGTTCAATCAAGACCCCAAAAGACAACTTCAAGCGTTGATGGTTCGACAAACTAGCCCACGTCACTCTCACATAACTACTGTTAGAGTTCTAATTGCCCATTTCTTACTACACTACCATACTAGAACTGTTTTAGACATTACGTCAAAGGTACATGGCAATACAGGAAAATAAGCTAATATGAAATCGGGATCCACAATAGCGAAAAGTTCACTTCTGATCTCGACCCACTTTTCCAACCCACGCGATAGTTCATTTTCTTGTTACTTGTTATATTAATGACGCAATTACCCTCCATTCCATCAACAGGAGCACCAGCTTCCTAAACAACCCCAGCATCGGTGGTTTAGTGGTAAAATTAGCCGTTGCCATCTCTCCTCGAGAACAGTTTCGGCTAGCCCCGGGTTCGATTCCCGGCCGATGCAATTCATTTTTTCCAGCCATGCTGGCATGGTTGTATGTATGTGTGCGTTGTTCGAAATTAAACTCTTTTTTTGCGATTTTTGGGGGTTAGGGATTCGGTTAATTATTTGGTGGGGGGCGGAGAGTCACGTGGCACCACTTGATATGTTTGATTGCATCACCTATGTGTTTACATATGTATTGTAGTGTGTATGTGTGGCTAGAGGATATACCTACGAATAGGTTTTGCTGCATGAATCCATCCCTTGGGTATTCGTGTTTTTTTTTCTTTTTTTCTTCCAAATAGGGAATTCGGTCGTGTGTGTGTGTTCTAATTTCCATATTTTGCACCTTTTTCAAGGGTTTAAACCTACTACCAAGTCTTAATTCCTCCACCCCCACATTATAACAAAAAGTATATAATGGCTACAAGGGGAAACAGTCATCTACACTTCCCCTAAGAGGAGCCTTGGCGCAATGGTAGCGCGTTGGTTTTCGGCTTTTCAATTGTCTCTGATCACCAAAGGTTGTGGGTTCGGTACGTGGCTTTCCTAATGGGAATGAACCGCTTCTTTCGATCCATGTTACTAACGTAATTTGACGTAGATCCCCATGGGCTTCGCTGTCTTCTTTCTCTTTTGCTTTTTTTGGATCCCTCTCTCTCTCACTTTTTATTTTTTGCAATGGACTGTTTGAGCATGCCCTTGATGCTTCATAATCTTCATGCCTTTTGCGTTTGGCAATTGCCTTTCTGTGGGTGCTTGTGTTTTGCGAAGAAGCTTGGCTGGAGAACCCCCCTTCTTTCTTTTACTTTCTCACCCTCGCAAAAAAAAAACATGCTGAGTGAGAGGGCTGACCCTTTGAGTTTCGGCCATGTGAGACGCAGGGGATAGGATTATTCTGCGGCGCGCTCGGATGCCTTGGGGTACTGGTAAGGATACGAATGCAGTCGCCGTTCCAAAAGGCAAAACTACTAGTTACGACCGGTGATATATACCATGGAGACGGCTGATCTACATTTGACAAAAAAAGAAAAGGAATAAAACAGCACAGCTAAGATGCGCAAAAGGCCCACTTTGGCACTCCGATCTCCCGCGTTTCAGATACATGGATGGCATGGCAGCAGCCGGGTACATGCTTTGCCGATACGTAAGAAAACGCTCAGGATGCCCAAGAAAGCGGATGCAATGAAGGCCTGAGAATCCTGCTCGCGTCATTCTGCGGTAGGCAGTCTGTGATACACACATGGTACTTGTAGATCATAGGCAACCCATGATCCGAAATCTGAAACAGCTGCAACAGATCGATGGGCATTGGCCTTGGCCGCAGCTCAGCAATTGACCTGTGTCTGCTTTTCAACGACGCGGGGAATGACGTAAAGTTTGCTGGTGTGCCAAAAGTTGGGGTCGCCAGAAAACAAAGAAAAGAAAAGAGACATTGCGTGCAGGTCGGCAACCCGGCTCAGAGCGCATTGGTACAAAGTGCTCTCGGACCGAAATCATTCGCCCAAGCCGAGTCAGTATGTACATAGATAAATAGGCAGGTTGAACACTTCCTGTTGGCATAACACAATTGGGGAAGCAACCAAATTTTCACCAAGGAATGCGGTCTAGAACGTTGCATTTTTTTTTAATGCCTGCTCATAAGTCTGACCCCAAATTGCCAAGTGAATTATAGTCGGGGTTGGTCGCATGGGGATGCTGGGGGCAATCAGGCCATATGGCAAGTGTCAAAGACAGGCTTCACCCAGCCAATCACCATGGGAGCATGGGCCAGAGAGCACGATTGGAAATATCTAAACCAAGTCATGTTGCTCTTGGGCGAGTCGTGAAACAGGTCAAAGTATAGTTTGGATTGCATGTTGTCGAGATCAGCAGTATTAGGTGTGGGTGCACACCCGTTGTTCTGCAAGATGATCGAACAGCAGTTCGACAGTGTCATTTTAGCTATGGGTCGCAGGAGGCTTTCCAAGATCCCGCAGACGACGGCAAGACGGGAATCGGGGATCGGGAGGCTACGTACACGTATGTACATGTGTGTACATTGAGCTAGTCAAGTGGGTTCCTATTGGCTGGGTAGTTGTAATCAGAGAGCATGAGGAATAGGTGTACAGCGGCATCGGCATGAACACAGGTAGAATGTGTATCAGACATGATTGGTGGGCAAGAGATGATTTGTGACTGAAAATGGTTGAGGAAGCGTCAGAGGGTGCATGATGGCATGGCAGCTGGAAAAGGCGTATTCTGAGCCGGGACGGGAACTACTAGGTTTGGTTGGCTGCGCCTATCGGAAGAGGTGGGATGAGAACAGGTGGATGAGTATCTGTCCATCAGCACCGGCCAGAATGGCGGCTTGGTGGACAGCCGGCGTTGCTCGGACATGTGTATAGGGAATTAGTGGTTTGCTTACGGCCGTGCATCATGAGTCGTTGCGCTCATCGCGTCCGCGCCTGAGGTCTGGGGCGGTGGTACAACAACGCAGTTGGATCAACGGCGTGCTGCAGTCGGCGCGGCAAGAGTGTGGATGCAGTAGTAGCGGCATTAGTGTTGGGCGCTCTGCAGGGCTGGTTTCGTCGATACGATTACGTCGCGCGTCCCGCCAGCCCGGACGGCTAGCCATGCGATGAGTCGATTGCAGCGTGCCGGCGAGACTAGCGGACGTGGCTGGCGACGTGAGACTCGGTTCGCACAGTTCCTCAGGAGCAGGATGGGGTTGGTATGGATATGTGCGAGCGTACGTAGTAGTAGTTATAGTAGTAGGTGTGTACGTACTCTACCAATGAGTGAGTGTAAGTAGGCACTGTCGCGGGCATGCAGAAACGACGGCGGTGATTGGCCCGGAAGCCGAAAATAGAAATGGCAGCTCGAAGACGATCGCGTCATGGCAGGTGCTGGTGGTGGGGCGCGCCAAAGACTATGGTGCAACAGCGACAACAGGCTGCCTCTGCCTCTGGCTGCGGTTGCGGTATGGGACTCTACTCTGGGGTACGGCAAGAGGCCAGGCGGGTAGACGAGGGGGATTGTCAGTCAGCAAGCAACAAGCACCGTCGGTTTCGCACTGATTGCGCACTCATATCGCAGGAAATGATGGCATGCGCGGCATATGCAAATCAAACACGTCTCATCTCACCGGCTTCCCCACACGCCTTGGCGGGCATTTGCATGCTGTGTGTCGAGGTGTAGACATTGGTTTGCGGGCAGCGCACCTGCAGGAGGAGGAGGAGTAGACTACTGGGCGTGGTGTATACTAGACGGTCGAGTACTGTAGGGTGTGTGTATAGAGGACATATCGGGTCGTGTGTGGGCCGATGTTGTGCCGCGGACCCTGTAGGGACATGCCCAACACGGCCTGTCGTGAGCCCGCAAAAGGCCTTCGCCTTCGCCTCTGCTGGAGCGGGGTACAGGCGAGTCGGTGAGCCATGCACATCTGCATCCGCATCCATACCCATACCCATACCCTTGCTCATGCCCATGGCGACAACGGCCTCTTATCGCACTGCACCAGAGACTCGACGATTTCCACCGCCATTCGTTCATCCTATCTTGTCCTGTCCTGTCCTGTCCTATCCTGCCCTGCACTGCAAACCCGCAGCCGCAGATGCCCTGCTGTGGGTCGCGCCGGCCGAGGTGTGCGGATGCAGGATTGGCCATGTCGCTCCCCCTCTCAGATGGCGATTCCCACTCTGTTTACCAGATCGCGTCGGATTTGGCATGGCCTCAACGCGTCCAACCACACGCCTATTCGCTCACATGCGACGGGCAATGCCACACCCCACCCGCGCCCACACACACCCTCTTTGCTTGGGACGGCACAAATTCCAACCCGCCCTCGCACGCTTCGTCTCTTAAGGCATGATGTGTCCCGCAGACCCTGGAATACGGGCTCGAAAGCGTTTACCGCGCCATTGCTCCCATCCTCTTTTGTGCTGCCTTTCGGTGCTTCGGCATATCGACTGCAACGGTGGCGTTGAGACATGGACTTGTGCAGTGTGCCGTTGCCATGCAGCAACAAGCTTCCGAAGCGCCAGGGTGCAAAAAAAAAAAAAAGGTCGGAGAGGGAGCAGTCGCAGTCGCAGTCGCAGTACTAGCAGTAGCGACAGCAGCACCAGCAGCACCCAGCACCAGCGGTGGACTTGGAGGCGTCACCAGTGCCTCCGTTTGTTTTGCTGCATCGGCAGCGCCCGAGCACCGTGGGCCGGGGGGAGGCAAGGACTAGGGTCAGGAGTGAAGCTGGCGAAGGTGCCGGAAACTCTATGCTTCTTTTTTCCAACGTCTCCGAGGCGGATCAAGCACAACGGGCGATCGGCTCGATTGCAGGATAAATGCCATGCGCGCCTATGTAAACAATAGTGAAGAGGCTACGTAAGCAGGCGGCCGTGGCCTCAGGCAGGACAAGCCAGCCCAGCCCAAGGCCTCGACCACCATGGCGACGGCAAAGAGGGCAAGACTGCAAAGGCCATTTGCTTGCATTGAATCCTGAGCCCCGTGCGAGAGTGTGTGCACAGAAACCCCGTGACCTGGCCGTGACCGTGGCACCGTGGAGAGCAGAGGCAACGTGCCCCGTTGTCTTCTGGCGTGAGAAGCTAATTGAGAGTCTCCTAGCAGCGCGCCCGTGCGTGCTCCCCGACTAGTGCGGCCCCTTTGCCTGACAACCTCAACTCTTCACCGCGACCGCCAACCCTACACTCCCTCTATTATTTTCCTTTTCTGCTTGCTTCTTGAATCGCTCGTCGTTTCCAGCAGCAGACGGCCCACTCTCGTATACCGACCAATGCAGGCTTGAGGGACTGCTCGGGAGGCTTGGTACACGCTGCCATCTCCGTCGATTCACGACAGCCTTCCAAGCGCTCGACGACCTTCTCTTTCTATTTACTGTTTTAATACCTTTGCGCTGCTTTCCTTTCACTCCCAGGTACACAGTCCCCTCGAAGCCCGTCACCACTGCCGACCCACAGCCTCATGGCTGCATCACCAATGCCCCCATCCCTTGATCCCGCTACACTCCTGCTCCTGCTCCTGCTCGCCCGGCCTCGGTTCCGCGATTCTGTCCTCAGTCCACATCGCTCCACCACCTACCACCCACCGCCCGTTCGCATCCATCGAACTAATATGCTAATGTTGTAATGCTCGACAGGTTTTCACTTGCTCATTTCGGTCGCTGCCGCTGCCGCTACTGCTACTATCGCAGTCGACGAGCCTATAGCTGATCCCCATCGAGCTCCTGACAGCCGTACCCCCCACAGGCCACCGATGGCTCAGGTACTCACGTCAGTCATCCAGACGACAGGACCTCATACAATGCCATACTCGTCGTCCGATGCCTACAAAAACACGACTACCCACTCCACCCAGCAACAGCCACGCCCGTCGCAGATGCCACGCAAGGAGCACAGCGCGAATTCTGCACCTACAGGATACAGAGCAGCCGCCGCACCCATAGCCCCGTATGCCTTCAGCAGCACGCCGCAACTGCGCCAGGAGAACAGGTCCGTCTCGGCACCTTCCCCCCAAGGCCTGCAGCAACTCCCAGCTCCCGCCAACCAGGCTCGTCTTGGCCATCCCTCCCACCCATCTTCTTCATCCGACTCCACTGTATCCACATCTGGATCTTCCAATCGTTCCTCGGCCGGAACGGCTGTAGCCGCCAAAGACGACAGCGACGCCAAGAAGCCTATCGACAGCATTGCGCCATCACTCACTCTCTCCTCCACCAATCTTGATCTTTCGTTTTCTGTTGGCGAATCGCCAGTGAAGCCGTCGCCAGGGCGGTATCGACGTGGCGCCGGCAGGTCAGATTCGTCAAATAGCGTACCCACTGGCTCCACTACCCCAACACAGCGCTCCGCACCCGAGGGAAACTCTCAGGCGGCACCTTCGCAATCAACGCCAAACGGCACCTCAGATGCTGCAAGCTCGCCACAGCCATCGAAACCCGCCCATAACCGAGCCAACAGCGCCGATGATACTGTTCGTGTAGGCGGCGCCGACCAGGCTAAACGGTACAGAAGGCGCAGTTTCAACGGACTAGAAGGGGAGAATACTACCCCGAGCAAAGCATCATTGCAGACCAGTCCATCCACAGCTCAGCCCCCAGTGTTGAACCAAAGCCTCACTAGACCGTCCAGTTCTGGCCGCGCCGGAAGTCGTCCTGCCTCAAGCCAGAGTCATGAACGACAGGGCAGCGCAGGTAGTGCGTCGTCCAACAATTCGTCAAGATCACAGGTGAGTCTAGCCAACACACCACACATAACCATACTAATATATATATTTTAGTCTCGGCCTGCTGCAAACGCACAACGCAGCTACGCCTCCGTAGCAGGAGGCAACTCTGGCAAAGCAACTGAGCCGAACAGACGTCAAGCTCCCTCCCCTCTGTCACATCCCATCTCTCCGTCAGAGTCTCCTGGCCAAGCCAAGCCAGAGGCGACGTCGAGTGCCGCAATGCAGCAGCTCAGTGCTGTCAACGACAAGGAGAAGGGTATGAAGTCTCGTCTACGCAGGGCATTCTCCTTCGGCAGTGCTGCTGAACTCCGACGTGCTTCTGCTGAGAATAGCATCTCTGTCGAACGCGCAAGATTGAGGAAGGGCCAGTATCAGAACGACGAGGATGCTGAGCAAGCAGCCATTATCGCAAAGCAAGAGGCTGCAGGTATTGGGGCTGGCATTTACTCTGGCCAGGGTGGTATCGGCTCGACGGACAACTTGTCTATACAGTCTGCTGCATCGTCTGCGTCGGTTATGCTTCGCAAAATGGGTCATGGAATGAAAAAGGGTACCAAATCGATCAAGGGTCTCTTCAGACCCAAATCAGTTATTGGTGTGCCTGCTGCCGATGGCCCCATCAGGCCAAGTGTTGGTCAAGTGTCTCTCGTCACCGTTGAGGCTGAGAGGCACAAGGTTAACGTCAATGCTCACCCGCAAACACAGACTAGGGGAGGCACTGGCTACCCAAGACTTGAACGCAACTCGATCGACGCTGGACAGACCGCAGAGATTGTTGACCCTTCAGTCTCAGGTAGTGATTCTATTTCCAGGAAGAGCATTGTTGGGTCTGATCGTGATCGTGCCGAAGTTCTCTCTTCCATGAAAAAGGGTATTTTGAAACGTGGGTACTCTGCGTCTTTTATACACGCAGCTGCTAATGACAAATCAGGTACTGGTACCGGTTCTGGGTCGAATTCTCCAGTAATAAGACCTGAAGACAGTGTTCCTAACGTGGGCTCGTCAAGGTCCAGTTCTCCCGCCACTCCCAAAACAGAAGTTGGACAATCCCGCACCGACGACTACTTTGCGAAGCCACCTCGTATCCACAATGGCAGCACCAGAAGTCTTCCAACTACGCCTCACGGCGGTATGCGCAATATCAGCTTCAGTCCCCGCATTCAGTTTCACGACGCCTGGTCACCGCAGGACTACGACCGCAGAGGTGAGATTGCTACGTGTAATAGGCTTACGCCCATGCTTGCGCAACAAATCAAGGAAGAACTCAACTCCTTCAAAATGGTACACACTGCCTCTACCACGCTCTCAGAAAGTTTTGCTAACCCTCGCTACAGGAGATGGAAGTTCACGAGCTCTCGAAACCTCACACCCATTTCTTTTAATGATTATGCATCCACCATTTGGACATGGCGTCTTGGCGAATTCCTCTCATCGTTGCACTTGTGGATTTGAGCCACCAGCATTCACCACTTGTCAGCCCTGTTCCCTGTTCTGGTTACCACGGACTTGTTCTTCCATCTTAGCGAGCATTTGCAATCACGTAGAGGGAGACCGCCCTGCTTGCATGGGAGGTTTCTGCAAGCCTGTTGGCAAGGGAAAAAAAATCACAAAAGATGGGAGGAGAAAGTTTTAGCTGGAATCACCTTCCCTTGCCTTCATCTCTTTCTGTGGGTCTCAGTCGTATGTTGACGTCCTTTTTCTTTTACCGTCAAGCTTGTCATTCTCTTATTAGTCTCCTTGTCTCAGTTACAATCATTGTTGGGTAGTCTCTGCGCTGCATATATCGTGGAGAAAACTGTGTAAGGAGAGGTAGGAAGTACTTGGGGGCGCAAGGGTCCTTGGTAGTTGGCTTTTGCCGAATAACTGTATAATTGCAGTAATTGGAAGGCGACACTCCATGTTTCTCTGCTCCGTGTGTACTGTATAGAAAGTCTTTTGTTGGGATAATTGCCTGGGCTGGCAGCAGTCTCGCACCAATATTGATCATTTATTCGCCACATCTTGAGATTGGAGCACTAACGGATGCTCCGTCTTCTCGACCAAGTCCCTAGACACTTACGAGCTCGTACACTTATTCGACATTTGTCGCAGCGCATTAACGGTCAGACCCGTACGCGTCCAAGTCACGGCAATTAGCCGTAAAGGTCAATCTCCGGTACCTTGCACAAACCTAGGCAGTTTACACACATGCTCGGCACTCACTTCATCTGCCAACAACACTCTGATAACCCCACACCTGTCAATACCGCCCCGCAAAAAATGCTTTTGATCACGCGAACCACACCTTCCCGTTCAAGAACGTCAATACAACCACACGTGGGGGTGAGTGCAACGGCAGACGGTATAGGCGCTAGTCTTTTGATTCATCGAAAGTATCGCATGTGGCAGCATGTCCGCAACCTTAAAACAGTCGCCTGATCACCGCTTTTGGAATACGACAATGTGGTGCTCGACAATAGCGCCAAGGGATTCAAGGGGTAGAAAGGAGTGAGGCCAGGAATGGATAGCGCAAGTGTTGCTAAATATATGTTGGTAGCAAGTGCAAGTGACGACATAGAGTGCACGTGCTGACTGTATCCTTGAGTGTGAAACTGATAAAAGGGATATTATCAAACCCATGCGTGGATAGTAAGCTGGTGCAAGACCACTGCAAATGGTGCTGACAAAGGAAGATGAATGGGCGGACGAAGCATATCACGTGACTATATCGCTCGCTTGACTGCTGACTTAGCGCGCCAAGATCGCGCACCGGACACGAAATTGGTGTCGGCTCAGCTTGTCGGTCTCTCCTCAGCAACCACACACATCCGACAAAATGGTATGTCCTGTCGCCGAATAACCTATCGAAGGGATGAAGGAAAGAATGGACGCTGACTATTTCCAAGGCACCTGCAGCAACTGGAGGCAAGAAGCAAAAGAAGAAGTGGTCTAAGGGCAAGGGTATGTGATACCGCAATATACACCATCCAGCACCTTTACACGCACATCGAGAATATCCTACTACACGCGGAATCATCTCTTGAGAATTCCATTCCTCCCTACGACCCTCGCGCACATTCCGGGCTCCATAATGAAGAAACGCCACTAACAAACCCGCAGTCAAGGACAAGGCCCAGCACGCCGTCGTTCTCGACAAGACCACCAACGACAAGCTCCAGAAGGATGTCCAGTCCTACCGCCTCATCACCGTTGCCACCCTTGTCGATCGTCTGAAGATCAACGGCTCGCTCGCACGCAAGGCGCTTGCCGACCTCGAGGCCAACGGTCAGATCAAGAAGGTTGTCGGTCACTCCAAGCTCAGCATCTACAGTACGTCCGCCATTTGGTCCCTGTGACATTACCCTCTTCGGCTCCATATGAATTGGACCTTGGGGAATAGACCGTTGGAAACAAACTAACATAGCCCAGCCCGAGCGATTGGCGACGCCGAGTAAATCCGCGTTTACGGACTAGTCAATGAATCCAAACGCGAGACTCGGGACACCTCTTTCAGTTTTTCAACGGCATTCCTCTTTCCATTTCCGATCGGCGTCTTCATGAAATGAACGGGTCACTATATTGGGATGCAGGCTTCATAGCGGGACATGAAAATGAGAGGAGCGGACTCAGGTACAGCACCTGTAGTCCATGGGATGTGCCGGTTACGTACTGAATGAAAAAGATATCCGAAACACCCAAATTGAAATGGCCCGAACTTTCCGTGACTACCATTCCATCATGATGTGTTCGTGTGTGTCTGCAAAGGATACTAATTTTTGGTTCAACATTGAATATGTGTGGCGTGACCACGTCTCGGATACAGCTGACAACCTTGTACGAACGCTACTTGCACATGTTATCGGCCCCATTATCAGACCGTTAGTGGGTACCATGAGCATGGATGGGGAATAATTCAATTCGAAGGTATTACAATTATTGAGATGAAGAGAGATTGACAGGAAGGTTAGGAGAGACTCGAAACCAAGGAACTCACCCAGAGGTATTCCCAAAATCATTCATCCTTGGAGAAGAAGCCAACGTCCCCACTCTTCTCTCCCATTTCCACTAGTCTCTCTCGCATCTTCTTCGCTCGCTCCGCCATCTGCGGCTCGAATCCCTCAAAGTCATATTCCTTGGCCCATTCCCCGACACCATGTTGCAGCACGTTCCTCGCTCGCTGGCTGCCCGCCAGCGGCGTCCCAATACTACCATGCAACGTCATTCTCTCCTTGGAACAATCATACACGCCACGGTGCAGAATATTGTTATTATAAAACGCCACTTCGCCCGCCTTGAGCTTCACCGTGATTTGATCAGGCATATTTGCTTCGTACGGGTCCGCATTGCGCTCTACATCTGTTCGTGCGCGTTTATGCGATCCAGGAACGAGCACTAGACTGTTGTCGTCGTATAAAGCTAGATTCCACTGCGCATGATGACCTGGTTTCTGCAATCGTTCTAGTTCCTGTTCGGCCGTGGCCGTCGCTGCAATGTCGTCTCTGTGCCATCTCAGACTAAACTCTTTATCTGGCCGTACAAGCATGTTGTACAGCTCCATGGTCAAGTCGTCTTCGCCGCACCCGATCAGCGCAGCAACATATTTCAGGAGTTCGCTGTCGAAATACGATTTTGCAAAGATGACATGGTCGGGGTTGGAGGGGTGCAACAGGTGCTGTACGCCCCATATACCGTCTGAGGGATCCTGCGGCCAGGGCGGGAATTGCTTGGGGAGAGTACGGATGTAGGGCCATTTTCCTGCTCGTGCTGCCGTGGTCAGGCGTGAGGCTGCTGCGCGGAGGGCGTCCAGGTCGAAAGAGGGGAAGAGAGATGCGGAGAGGACGACGAAGCCGTCGCGGTCTAGTGCTTCCTTGGCTGCCTTGTACGGGTCTTTGCTTGAAGAAGTGATGTTTGAGGGGGCCGGTGAATCATCTGGTGTTTGTTTGGCAGCTGCTGGTTGTGCAAAGGGTAATGGCAAGAGAGACTTTGCACTGCCCATAAAGCCGCCTTTGTCTGGTTGGTGCTCGAATCGTCGGTGCATCTTGAATACACCGAGGCCGGTGGTGAGGAGGGATAGAGGTAAGATGAAGAACCATTAAATGTGCATAGGTGACGTTGTTCAGCTTGCAGTGTAAGGCTACCCCGCATGGTATAACAGCCCCCACCATTGTCCTGATGTGGCAATGGCTATTCCGTCGTGGCTGTTTCTAAATTACATGCTATGTAGTTGCTGTTACTATAGAGCTGCCAGTACAAGTGCTGGATGTTCTTCGCGCACTTGACTTTCCTGCACTTTACTCTGATATAAATGAATCCAATTCGTTGATCTTTGAGACATTGGTTGATTCAGCCAAAAAGCCTAGCACATTTAAATCCAAATACAATGATAGCAGTTGCAAATCGATATTTTCGAGAAACTGGCGCGAGCAACTCATACATATTCTTTTCCCTTTACCTCCTCCACTTCAGCCTCTCCTGTTCCCCCCTTTGTCCTTCGCTCTTTTTCTCTCTCCTCTTCCTCCTCTCTCTTCTTCTGTCTCAGATACTGACAAAATTTGCTCTTATCCCTCATCTTTTCACCCCACTTGACGAATACAAACGGCACCACGCACAGGGCTAGCGAGAAAAACCCTAACAGAGTCGTCGCCCACGCTACACCCATAGCCCTATACATCGGCTTCGTAGCAAACGGCAATATTGCCCCAAATGATGATCGAGACAACGAAGCAGCAGCCATGGCCGAGGCGGCAAAGATTTCGTAAGCGTCGACAAGGTAGTTTAGCAGAGCCATGAAAAGACATAAATAGCCCATGCCAAATAGGACTCCAGCAAGCACGGGCACGATCCAGTGAATATCCTTTCGCGCCGTCCAGCCTAGCCAGAAAGCACTGATGACGAAAAAGGGGCCTGCAATGCATGCAAGGGGGAGTCGGCGCATCTCCTCACGTTGCGACCAGGGGCGCTGTAGACGCTGGGCGCGTGCAAGGTACCAGTCCCAGGCAAGGTAGATGCCTGCGGATATGGTGGCTCCCACGCCAATAGGTAGGAATGCCAGACCCATTTCTCCGGCATTGAAACCATATGTTCCTGTGAAGATTATGGGGTAGGATTGCATGAAAATGTAGAATATAGAATCTGTATTTTTTCGTAAGCATCAGCCGTGGATGTTGATAGGTAAAAGAAAATGACGATGCAAACTTACATGCGTAGCTCAAGTACAAGCAAGTAAAAAGGACAAGTGGCTCGAAGATAACCATTCGTATTGGTCTCGTCAAGATGACCGTAACAAGGTGATTCAAGTCCGTTTTCTCCAACTCCAGTGGTGCAACGATATTCTCATCACCCGTCTCCTTGCGTAATCGCTGAGCACGACGCTTCAGAATCGTCGGGCCATACGTCTCATCGAAGAAGTAGAAAATAGGCCATGTTGCGCCCGCGAAGATGGCTCCAACCCAAAAAGCCCAACTCCAGTCGACCACAGAAACGAAACCTGATATCGGGGGTCCTAATATAGGACCAAATGTCGTCGCAGCCTAACTCGCAAGATCAGAAACCTAAACCCTAAAACACATGACAGAGAAATAACACACCATAAATATCGCCATACTTCGACCGCGTTGCTTTGGGTCATGATAAATATCCGCACAGATACCACCAACAACGCTAATCGCACAGCTTCCGCCTACACCAACGAGGAACCTGAACACGACCAGAGCGCCAAAGTTGGGCGAAAGCGCCGACGCAACCGAAAAGATTGTCAAAATGACAAACGATATCACCATTGTGCCTTTGCGGCCGTAGCTCTCAGACAGTGGGCCCCATAGCATTGGACCGAATGCGTACCCAACTAGGTACATGGAGGTAGGGAGAACGAGCATGTACTCGTTGTACTCGTTGAAATGGCGGGATATGGGGCCTGTAGCTCCAGCTGCAAGACTTGAGTTCATGGTGCTGTTCATGACTATATGGACTTAGTTTGAGGCGGGGGACGATTGGAGGTGAGGAAGGAGAGTGCCTACCACTTATGATTGCAACGAAGACGGCATAGATTTTCTTCCACTGTACATAATATCAGTAACATACCAACGATTATACAACTTTATTCTACTCACACGGCCCCAGTTATCAGGATTCTCAGGATCCCCGTCTTCAAATCTCAAGACACGGCGCCGTTGACCATGCTCACTGGATATCTCAGACAGTGCACTCGTCCCATTGTGCGAACTCGATACTTGTGACTCGACTCTCTCAATCGCATCTTCGTGCTCGACATCGGATTCATCGACGTCTTTCTCGAGTTCCTTCAAGCGTGCTGCACGTGTGGTGTCTACACCGGCTAAGTATATCCGTCAGTAAGTCAACTCTCCCACCGACCCCAAATTTTCTCTCTACAAGAGAGAGAAGTGAAGAAGAAAAGGCAAGATAAAACACATACACCGCTGTCTGCTCAAACTCCTCTGACTCTTCGATGTAAAACTCCTCACCAACGCAACCGGCGAAGTGATAGCCTCATGCGTAGGCCCTACACCCTGTTGCTCCCGGGAATAACTTTTCTCAAGATCAGCCCCGGACTCCATCCTCCTAGAATAACTATTTCCCCTCTTCCTGTAATTCAACCGACAATTAAAATAATAACAATGATTGGTCAAAATGACGTATTCTACTCGTCACTCACAACCACCCAGCAAGTCACTTGTCAAAGAAAAAAAAACCTAGATGAGAGGGAATGTAGGTTAAAGAGTAATCTTTTGAAAAGCCATACAGGCAGAATCGAATGTAAAGTAGAAAAAAACAAAGGGAAATAAAACGGGCATCCCCAATTACCCAGACCCCGATGGGTCATGCAATAGCGATCACCGCTACCTCGGCATTAGACCCGCCCGCTTCGTCTCCCAAGTGCAAGCAACGATCGTCGACGGGTTGCAGGATACATGCACCATGATTTATAAATGACTGCATAATCTCGACTCTAGATTGGATTAGGGAAGCGGGGATCCATCATAGCGCCTGGCCCATATCCCCAATGGGTGTGGGGCCTGGCCGCCGTTGAGCAAACAGAACCGGCTCAACGGCGTTGCTATTATCCCTGTTGAACGCCATTGGTATAGTGCAGGAGAAGCAAGGCTTGTATTTCATAGGGCGCAGGGCATATGAGGTCGGGCAGATTTACCTTAGTATGTGTTCTGGGCCGGGTTCCATGGGTGGAGAGGAAAAAAAAAGGGCCAGCTCATACTACATTATGAGTGTGTGTGCCAAGAGTTTGAGTCACGTACGTATCTGTGCATATGTTTTTCGGTCTACAAGAGGGCGCGCGTTGCTAGTCCGATAGTGCAACGGTGTGAATTCCGAGGTCGGAGTCGGGGTAATAATGAACTTCGGAATTGGAGTGTATGTAGAAAACACATCTTATTCTTTTTTTTGTATTGATTTGCTGCAGTCATGAATCGTAGGGGGGATGATCAAAGAAACGTCTAGATGCCTTTGTGGACTACTTGAATTTTTTTTACGTCTCTAGGTTGATGCTGCGGCCGAAACGTCCGTATAGGGCCTTCTTTAGCTCTCCCATTTCTTCTTGGATACCCTCGAGCTTCGTCTTGAGGGCGTCGACTTCGCCTTCGATGGTCTCGGTTGATGAGCTAAGGAGCTCGAGAACTTGGGGCTGGGGTAATGAGATGAAGCAGTCACCGACTTTGTATCTGTATTCGTGAATTAATATACATGGTTGACGTCGTTCTGAATGGAGAAGAAAATGAACATAGCTCATATGGGGTAACTTACGGTACTTTCTCTTCTTCATCCACAAGCTCTAGTTCACCCGAAATTTCCTCGAGGTCTTCCTTCTCTTTCTATGTTTGCTGGTTAGTCTGAGGGAAAGTCCAAAGATAGTAATTGGGGCGTACAATCTTCGCCCGCAACTCTTCCTCGAGGATCTCTTCCTTTTGGTGCAGAGAACTGAATCTGTTGATCTTCTCTTGATCCTCACGTCGTACCTCGAGATCCTCGCTCTGCGCTGAGGCCTCGTCGTCTTTGGTGAGCTGCCACCTGATTAGCGCCGGACTGCCGAACACAATGTGAAAATTATGCTCCTCACCATACGGCGCTGCATTTTTGTGTTGTGGCTACTCGTGCAATAGACAATCTGATATCGGATTGAAGCAAGGTTGTGCAGACCTGGCTGTGGCGATTGAAGCGTCGGTGTCTAGACTTGAGTGTTGTTTGTGCCTTCGGGTACGCAAATGCCAAGACTATCGCGGGTCAGGCATGAACCATCTTCATAGTTGGTCCAAGATGTTTGCCAATTTCCAATACAGATCAATTTTAGGGCTTATCTACAGAGTATTTCTTATTAAGATTCGCTAAATATATCCCAATCCATATGTACCCGACCTAGGCAACTCTCTCAAATGTCGCACCCAGCTCATCTCGCTTTTCCACCAGTTCACTGCTCATCTGGCTATTTTGAGCATCACTGAGCGCCCGCAAAATATCGCTCTCTGCTTTGTCTCTAACCAGCTTACGAAGAGCGTGAATTAAGAACCCAGAGAATGCATTCACGGACCATTCGTCTGGCACAACCGCCAAAACATCAGCTACATCAAGCCAGCCGCCGAAACGTTCCAGAAGTTCACTCGTGCGTTCGACACGCTGAGAGAGATCTTCGATATTCAAGAACTCTTGCAAGAGGACTCCGAACAAACGAGATTGCTCTGCACGAGTGGGAATCTGATTGAGCGAGACAGGGGGGCCGCCAGTTGTTACAGGGCGATGGATGGATGCATAGCCATAAAGGCAGTAGTTTATGGCGGTATCGTAGTCGCCGAGGCCATGTGTGAGTAGTTTCAAAGCTTCTTCATGTCTTTCCTGTCGGCCATTCAAAATGATCATCTCAGAGACGAGCTCTTGCTCATAGGGCTGTAGACGCGACAACACTGCATTGACGTCGTAAGACGATGTCTCGCCAAGCAACTGAAGCAGGCGGAGCCTGGCACGGCACCACTCGACATCACTAGCATTGTCACTTATGAACAAGTAGTAAGTAGGCTTGGGTGGCTCGAGGATACGGTATGTCTCGTAGCCTTCGGACAACGTAGCACGCGACTCGGGATTCTTCTCGAGCTCGCTGATGACCATATCAAGATAGAATGCGATCAGTTCGTTCACGTATTGTGGATGCTGCAAATAATTTTAGTGAAAATACCGGCAAGGATCGACCTTCTAAACAAACCTTCTTGCTTCCGAACACAAGGTACTCCAGGTACTCTTTGACGGCACCTGGCGCCTTCTCTCTCAGTAAATCAACAGCTCGTGCAGGATCAAATCTGACCCTGCTCTGGTCATCAGCAAAGACCTGGACGCCGAGCTTGGGGTTTCGATTTGCGAGCCATGCGCCGTACTCTTCGACCAGGGTTTGATCGCGAATCTTGCTCAAGTATTCTCGCACTTTGAGCTCGCCATCTACAAGCTCGCCACCCCTGTCTTCTTCGCCTTCAATGATCCGCCTCCAGGTTGCAAGCACCTTAGATGACTTGACAGAAGCTTTGCAATTACCTTGGTATAGCCGACTAAGTACGTAGAGACGTTTGAATTGTTCGAGTAGTTCAACGGCTCTGTCAAAACATTCGACTTCTCTATCGACAAGTTCATAAAGCTCTGCTCGGTGGCTGCCTGGGCTTGATGTCCCCTTTGAAGTTCCCTGGTCCAAGAGCAGAAGGATGTGAAGCAATGCTGCATCAATAGTCTTGAACACATGAGGGTCATTTGTTACGCTTGCCATTCCTTTCCGCCTCTTCCAAAATTGAAGATAGCGCTTGACGAAATGTAGCAAGTTGTCTCCAAATGGCCCATTGGCGTTCGTCGACATGGCGGAAAAGTCAATTTGACGCAGAAACTGCTCTACCGTGGTCGTAATTCCGCCATATATCTGTATGCCATCGGATCCTTGGACGACCTCCTTACTGAGAATGGGCATAAGACTCAGGACAACCCGTGGATCCATCTCACCCTCAATCAGCGCTTGCTCGGTGATGCGCTTCTCATTCTCGAATATGATAATGTTCGTTTTGGTGCGGAGAACCACGTCCATGAAGAGCATGAGTGAGGCTTTTTGGCGAATGTAGATGAGACTGAGGTACTCTGACTCATTGCGTGGCTCCTGCCCCCGTATATCGCCAAGTAGTTTCTCCAGTAATGCTCGATTCGGCTGTATACGCGTCCTGTCTCCTTGAGTGGCATATTGAGCCTCCTCAATTCGAGCATCTAGACGAGTCACTAGTGGATTACGTACGGTCCACCAAATCTGGTCTCCAGCCCAAACAACAGTTTGCGACTGCAACTTTGAGAGGCGCTCGACGAAATCACGATCTGCTTTTGTTTGAGCTTTTGGCTTTTCAGCAGATTTTCCTGAAGCTGCCTCAGAGGACCCAAGTCGCAGCGGCTGCACGGTCAGTTTTGCGCCTACTTCTGGGATGACCAGGTCATAAGGCCGAACCACAGTACGCATACCGATTGGAGCTGAGATATAGGAGCCGTTGTCATCCACTGTGAGACCCAGCGGACTGAAGTTGAGCCAGTGTTTATCAACTTCACCATCACTTGGGTCCACGTCCCACCGTTGAATCTCCACGCCATAGGTCAGGGTACCCTCATGTTCTCGATGCACAGCAGCTAACACGTAGCCCTCCTCAGCGTTCATGTTTGTGCCCATAGATCCGGACATGTCTACCCCGGACCCATCTACCGCAATGGCGTCGGGATAACTACTGAACTGAATGCTTCCACGACACATGTCACCATCAAGATTCACAAACATACCAACACCCTGATCAGTGGGCGTAGTACCCACTGTAAGCAGGAACTCATTTGGATTTGGTGATGCGACGTGAGGTTTCAGCGGAATGAAACGAGGCGGCTCAGGTAGTGAAGGCTCCTCTTGGGGCTGGTTATCTTCCGAAGGAGGTGCAGGCAGAGGCTTGTCGGGCGAAGCTGCGCCAGCTCGAGATTGACTAGATGCTCTGTCTGTTCCCTCTAAGGATGACCGTGCTGGGGCTGGCGACATATCACGAGACAACGACTCTGGTACATCAAAGCCATATCGTTGCGCTGCAGGACGCGGGCTTGCGGTGCGGGAGGTGTGGCCACTCAAGCCTAGAACACTCAGACTTGTACTTCTCACATGACCATGCTGCTCTTCCAGACGCGGCTGTGGACTAGCTGAAGAGATACTTCTGGATGGCGCATTCGGCACGGTAGCAAGATGTTCAGCGGCCCCACCTACGTCACCAACATCTGGATCCAAAGATGAGATGGGAAAGAGGCCAATCTTCTGCTGATGCACCACATCAAGAAGCGCATAAGAGTGGGCATCGGCGGCACACGAAAAGGTATCGCGACGCACTGATACCAAGCAGCCTCCATACTCGATTGCTTTGATGGCTTTTGGGGGCGAGTTCTCGGATATCTGCACCAGTCGCAGTCGCTTCTTCAGCCCAATGACCACCACGACACCATCTTCAGGCGGCGCATCTAGGTCTTGGTTGAGGTCCACACCTCCGACCCAGAGGCATCCGATAGGCTTGAA